AAGCAGTTTTTCAGATATAGTCCATTCCATATTATATGTAAAATTGATTATATTTCAAAAACTGTTCTACTTTTATAACTTGACGACATTTTCGGATTTAGCGAATAATATTTCATAGAAATTGACTGCTAAATGTCCTGGATACAAATTGCTGTTGATGAGAATTATTAGTGGCTGCTTTTTCGCTATGACATTCATTTTTAGAGAGAGATTTCTTCGTCACAGGACATCTTGCAGAATAAAAGTGATTTAATTTAAATACAGTGCATGATAGAGAACATAAAAAACTAATGGCAACAAAATTAATAAATTCGGAAAATACTTTTAACATACCACCCGAAAAAATATTAGATATATATATATAAATCATCCTGTACCGGCCTAAACATTATAAATGCTTCACAAACTAGAGATACCACACTTAATGATATTTGCAACAAACTATTTCAGAAGTCAGACCAAGGAATTAGTAGTTTCAGAATCCAGAAAAGGAATGAGGAATTCGAGAAAGAAATATATATGATATTTACAAAAACGAAATAAAAAAAATTACCTAAAACAGCAATTTATCTTTAAAAAATATTTAACATTTTATGTTATTTTATGTAAAGTTGTTATGTTTATATAAAAATTGTATGTCCAATAACTATGGTCTATGTGTCCATTTACTATATAAAATGTCCAATTACTATACTTTTTTGCATGTTTTCATAAAACTATTATTAAAAATTCAAATGCCAACTTCAGAGATATCTATTATTATTATTATTATTATTATTATTATTATTATACTAATGTAAATTATTTTTGTAAATTTCGTGATAAAATTCTATATTAAATTTGTTTTACATGAAATAAACATTTTGTTTCTTCTGCAACAATTACACTGTTTTACAAGGATTTTTCAACAGCTGATATATTTTTTTTCGTTTTCAGGAAACCAAAACTTCGAAACATGCTAAAAAAGCGGAGGTCAGCAGAAGAATTATTTGCTAATTGCCAAGTTAGGAAATCTTAATGACAAACATTTTGATATATTTTGAACGATAGGTATTTGTTTTAATCTTTATTTTCGCATTTAAAGCAGAAGTTAAAAAATTGGCAAAAATTATATTTTTAAAACAAAATTCTACTTCCGGTTTAACCGGAAGTGGCATTAACTTTGTTATTTCAAATTATTTCAAATAGAACATCCCATATACAGGGTGTTATGTAATTAATGTTATATATTAAAATGGGTTGTTCCTTAGGGTCCATAAAGAACCTGAAACTTTTTTTTTCTAAATTCCAAAGTCTAAAAATAATTTATAATAACCTTTATCCTACCCAAAAGTACGCCACTGATCGACTAGGAACTTTAGGTTAATCTGGTGGATTTATTATGTTATGGTTGGTAACCAATGTTTCCAAAATCTCTCAAAAAAGTTGACAAACATTGTTTAAATTTAGCTTAATTACAAAAATGACATGCAAATTGTCAATTTGGCGTTTTTATTAATTGTTGGTTATTTCATTTTTGTACTGAAGGTAAATTCAAACAAAATCTGCCAACTTTTATGACAGAATCTAGTGCATTTCTTTTAAATTTTAGGTTATGTTTTCAAATTGTAAATATCTTAGTGCTTTTGGATTTATTTACACAAATTAAATGTTTAAAGTTTAACCTTTGAACTGGTCCCAATTTCATCTGAGTAAACAGAGAAAAAAACTAATGAAAAAATTAATTTTGTGGTTATGGATTTCAAATTTCAAAGGTACTAAATTTTCTAATCATTGCTTAAGCTAATAGCTGGATCAGTAAATAAATACAGAAGGGTATTAGAGCTTTAAGGGCATAAAACTTTTGTATTTATTGAGTTTTTATTTATTTTTTGCAAGAAAAATTTTTAGTAACAATTTTTTACATCTGGCAACGCATAGCTACTTTGTTGGTTGGTATCTATGTACTCACAAAATACAGGTGTGCAGAGATAAACAAGTGTGTAACCAGTGGCGTATCACAAAAAATATAAAAAACTTCTAATGCCTATTTTTTCTTTATCTTTGGAAAAATGTTTTTCTTACTACCTCGACTCAAAATACGTTGTTTCGTCCCCGATTTCACGGCAGAAAGTTTACGTTTCTTGCATTGGTCAAGCTATACGCGCACACTCTAATAGCGGGAGTAAAAATTTTTTAGTCGCGTGCTTAACATTTAAATTTCGTACTGCCAACATGAGAAACACAAAAATATGACAGTTTTAAACCAAAATTTTGCAATTATAACAACAAATAAACAATTTATGTTTTTACTTTTTTACTTTTTATGTTGTTTTAAGTGTTTAATGGTACTTTTATTTGTTATAAAGTAGTAATTTGTTAATTAAAATACAACCTTTTATTTTTACTGTATTGGCACCGCTGAATTACCATGACAACGCTACAGTTTGATTGATTTTGAATGTAAACGTCAGAATTAAATTAAACGTCAGATTTTAATTTTGACACCAATTTTTTTATATACATTTAATTTTTTCTCGTATTTTCTGCAGGGTAGTAAGAAAAATAGTATACACTACACGGGCAGAAAGTGTGAGAGTCCTGAACTGCGCGCCATGATGCCCTCGGCTTCGCCTCGGGCATCATGGCGCGCAGTGCAGGAATCTCACACTTTCTGCCCTTGTAGTGTAATATACTATTTTTAAATATTTTTCCTTTATTCCTTATGTTAAAAGGTATTCAGTATTTTAATATATAACATTAATTACATAACACCCTGTATACCTATAGGTAAAATAAAAAATCGGTATACAAATTAATAAATATTTATTTTTAACATAAAATAAAATACCTATAGTATCTAAAAGTATTTTTGTTATCGAATATTGTTTTAATTTGACAAATAACTATAAAAAAATATTTTGGATTGGGTTTTTACTTAGTATTAAATACTATAGCACCCGGGTGCTATATTTAAAATAAAAAATGTATCTGGTAATTTGTTAAAATTTCTTAAATTTTAAAGAAAAAAATTAATAACGCGAAAACTATTCACTTTAGGTATAGGACATGGCCTAGTAATTTTAGTCAGAATTTTATGTAAAATTTAAAAATGTTAAAATATACAGGGTGTTTTATTTGAAATAACAAAGTTGATGTCACTTCCGGTTGAACCGGAAGTGGCATTTTGTTCAAAATATTTTAGAAAAATACACCTAAATGCATTGTAAATGCTTTAAAAATTTCAAATCGATATCTTTTGCCGTTCCCTATAAACCTCAAATGGACCACCAAGAGATGCTAAATAAAGCAGCGAGAACACCGGATCTGTCTCCTAATGATTTTTTCTTTGGGGGTAATGTTCGTTGGGAATTTGATGATAGGTTATACATAGAGTTATTGTTTGGCAGTTGTTTTCACCTTTAAAAGATATATTGGGAAGTTTTATCATTTGACCATGAAGACTCATTTCTAAGGGAAAAATACTGAAAGGCCAAAATTTTAGACAGTTTAAAATTAATATTAAATGGTCTGGCCCATTAGTCAAATTTTTCCGTAAAACTATTAAATCATAATTAAACATCGTTTATAAGTATATCAGCATTTACGTAACTTACGAATTTCAATAAAAATTATTTCATAATTAGCTAAAAAAATTATATACAATGCTTTGAATGGGAATTTTTTACCATGTAATACAGTCACAGGCAAAATAATCGATCCACACAAATTTTCGATGAATTTCAATCGCAAATAACTTTTTTATTTGATGTCGGATTTAAACGAATATTAAAGAATATTGTAGATAAATTAATGGACAATCGCTCACATTTTAAAAAATTACTAAAAAATAGACGTACGTTTATAATATACTGGTTTAAACAAAAAGATGTTTTTAACATAAGTTTAAGACACTATGTAGAGTGGCAAAACCGTATATTGTTCTAAATTAAGTTTTATTTATCAAGTCACATCTATTCTTAACAGTTTTGTTTTTGGTTCACCTCGATATATTTATTTTTGTGGAAAATATGGATTTTTTTTTAAAAACATTGCAATTTCCAATATTTTTCTGTATGAAGAACTAAGGTTGCTATGGTCCATCCATGGGCTATGGAGAATGACAGTGACAGTTTTGTTGAATCATCCCATACTTGGACATGTCATACACGGCTTTCAAAAGCTATCAAATTGTTTTTTGCAAATTAATGTTTAAATTTTAAGGTGTGTTCTTACTTTTAAAAATGGATATGTCTCCGACTGATGTTGCCAGAGCCATTAATTTAATCCAGGATGGACGGTCACAGTAATACGTGGCAAGTGTTTTAAACGTCACAAGAAGTAAAGTACAAAGGGCAACATAAGTCGGAGAGATTTTTAAAAGTATGAAGACACCTCAAAACTAACACATTAATTTAATTGATAGCTTTTGAAAGCTGTATATGACATATCCAAGTATGGGATGATTCAACAAAACTGTCACTTTCATCCTCCATAGGCCATACCAACCTTAGTTCTTCATACAGGAAAAATATACGGTTTTGCTACTTACTCTACAGAGTGTCTTAAACTTATGGTAAAAAACATCTTTTTGTTTAAACCTGTATATTATAAACGTACGTATATTTTTTAGTAATTTTTAAAATGTGAGCGATTCTCCATTAATTTATCTACAATATTCTTTAATATTCGTTTAAATCCGAAAACAAATAAAAAAGTTATTTGGGATTGAAATTCATCGAAAATTTGTGTGGATCGATTATTTTGCCTGTGAGTGTATTTCAAAATATGTGTTAACAAAACTTGAGTTTTTGAGCAAAAACAGTTCTGTAATAATTATTAAAATTGACTGTCAAATTATTTTGAAAAAAAAAATATTTTTTTTTAATTTGACTTGTAGACTGCCCCTTCCACCTGAAATTCGATTTCCATCGGCTGTGCGTATGCAGAAGACCAAAATTATCGGGCTCACTTAAAAGAGTCGTCCCGACTGTCGTTTGTTTTATTTTACGAAGGCAACTCGAACCGAACGCAGCTTTCTCGCCTCAGTGAACTTGACATTTGAAAGTATTAAAAAAAAAAATTAATATATTTATTGCGTTACCTCAATTGTTCCAAAATTTTATAGTGTGTGAAAATCAGTGTTACCTATAAGTGATTTAAGAAAAAATCTGCGATATGGATACGATTGGTGAGTTTTTTTCGGCAAAAATAAAAAGCGTCATTTCGGTAACATTTTTTTTTGATTTATCAGATTTTGTTTATTTGAGCCCAATTTTTTACAATATTTTTTTTTAAATTAATTTTTTGGATTAGATTCATTAGTATTAAAATTTCCAAAGTCAAAAAGTCAAAAAGTATTATTAATTCATTGTTTGACATAAAATTATTTTTTTATGTAAATAAATAGAAATTTCTAATTTAATTTCAAAATTAAGTATCATCAAAAAATGTTAATCGAAAAAAGTATTTGGGACATTCCAAAGCCAAAAAATAAATAAAAACTCAATAAATATAAAAGTTTCAGGAAAATGAAGATCAAATTTTTTTAAATGTTAAGAGTTTTGTATACTTACATTTAAGACAGGCAGTGCACTTTTTAATTTTTTTTACGTTTTCTTCAGAAAAATGTGTTTAGCTAGCTTTATATGTCTCCACTGTGTTACCAATTTGAAATCCAAAATTTAATTCAATAAAAAAAGTTGTTATAAAAATAATTTGTTCACAAACTTTTGACTCCAATTTTATTTTTTATTAAAAATTGTATGCCTTTTTAAATATTTATGTTAGTTAAGTTACTTTTTAAAAGACACCATTCCGATTCTTTGTTAAAAAAACAATACCATTAATATTTTCTTTTATTCACTGTATTAGTGAGTTAAACTCTAATTTATAAACAGGTATATAGTGATAGTAAAATCATTTTAAGGATTTTTTATTTATTTTTTTATTAAGTAACGAAATAGACATTGGTATCACAACGGACTGGGGTACACAAAGGACTTAATCAGATAACGTAAAAAAGAAACTATATAGGGTGGTACGATTTTAGAGTAATGCATAAACAAAATCCCTTGTAGTGGTGCTCACTTGCAGAATAACAACTTAGATTTCTAACACCCTTTTTCTTTGACTATAAGCAGGTGTCTTTTAGTACTTGTATATTGCGTGGAATTTTCCCTTGGATGTAATCTATATAATAAGTTGTAATCACAAATAATTTTAAATTGGTTTATCATAAACTACTTTTAATAAAAGCGACGGTAAATATCCACTTTATTGTCGAAAAATTCTTTTGCGTTACCCTAAATTCCATTGCGTTACCATACGGTAACGTAATGGACTCGGTAACGCAGTGGACAAAGTTTTGTGAAACCATATTTAAAAAATAATAATAAAACATTACAGTCATTAATTACTCTTAATGAGCTTTAGTGCCCTAAAATAAACATAAACATGAAAAATAGTATTTTTTCTTACCTTATTTTTATTATTTTTTTTGAGTAACTTAGCGGACAAACAATTATTACATTCGCGTTACCGCACCTGTTTCAACCGATATCTTCTTCCTGATTGAATAAATAAATTCAGCTGGGTAATGTGTACGTCCGAACATCATTTGTTAATCACGTGAGTGCCAAAAAAGTTGCCATATATATGTTTTTTTAAATATTCTATCGGTAACGCGACGGGCGTAACGCAACGGAAAAAATGTCTGGGACATGAGTCAAATTTAAAAAAAGTAGATTAAAATTAATTAATTTATATATAAATTGTTTACTTTATTAACTAAGGATGTTATGGATTGCTATAAAGCAACACAAAGTTCTGGTTATTCAATATTTAAAAAAAACATGTATACATATATGTTAGTTTTATAAAACGCTAATTTGGGCCCATAACCTAAAATTTGAAAGAAATGCACTAGATTCTGTCATGAAAGTTGCCAGATTTTATTTAAATTTACCTTCATTACAAAAATGACATAATTCACAATTAATGAAAACGCCAAATTAACAATTTGCATTGATTTTGTCATTTTTCTAATTAAGCTAAATTAAACAATCAAAATAAAACACACTGTATATTAATATTACAAGAAATTATTAGTACTTTAGAAGTTGTTGGGTTGTACAAATTTTATTATGGTTTATACAACAGACTTAAGCTAAAATACTACAAAAAATATTAATTATAAATAAAATGCAATTTCATTATATATGTACAAATGTGTTTTACTTTATGTTTTACTTTATCGCAAAGTCATTAACTTTTTGAATATGAGACAATTAGGTATAAAAATATCTATTCAACAAAATATAACGTTTAACACACATGTGTACCTATGTAGTTAAAAAAGTGTATTTAAATTAACAAGTGGGTGTAAATTGTTTTTTATGGCAGGTGTTAAAATTTTTGTGGCAAAATTTTGATGTCAAAAACTTGTTTTCTATTACGGTGAGTCAAGCCCATTTTTTTATTTTTGACTGTAAAGAGTAGGCGTGAGGCAATATTACTTAATTTCAGTAAATATTTTGTTAAATTAACCTAAAATTTACTTTGAAGTAAAACTTTTTTTAAAGTTATTTAATAAGTTTTATTTATGTTATTTTTACCTATTTTAATAACCCTTAAGTTTCAACACTTTAAAGTATTATGAGGGACGTAATTTTTACGAAGAAAATTACTTATAAGTTTATTTCACCTAAAGGAAAATTTAACGGTAATTTCAACGTCAGAATTTTTACTTAATGGTAAATGTTACCCATAAGTCATAATTTTACGATATTAGACCACTTTATAACCGTAAATAATTCCCATTCGCCTGGTATTTTTTAGGGTTATTAGTTGTAATAAATACTATTAATATTGACTAAACAAGGAAAAATAAAACTTTAATGGACATTTTTTTCAGGTCGCCATAATGAGTTTTTTAAGATGGCATCCATTACTTATCTAAACATTTACACAATATTTTTTCATAAATACTTTTCCAAAATATAATAAGGAAAGATTTAGTGATTAAAAAATAATTAAAACTAAATGATTTTTAAAAGATTTTATAAAATTTTGTAGGTTTTAAGTTTTGTTGACATTTTACCCAAGCAATAATTTTTCTTAAAACCGTAAAATATTCAGAAGGCATATAATTTTTAAGATGAATGTAAAATATTATTAGTTTTTGACAATTTAAGTTATATTTTTTAATTTTACTCTAGGGTGGCCTTTATTACTTTGCAAGTGCCATTTTGTAAAATACAAATTAAAAGAACAAAGAAATTACGAATGTCAATATTTTAGAAAGAGAGAGCAAACAGTTAGTAATTTTAACGTTATTTTTACGTAAATTTGTGGTATTTATATTGTTTTTCTTACGTTACTCTCTTAGTAGATCAAAAAGTTTATTATGTAGGTAAAATAACGAAATAAACCATTCCCCAAATTATAAAGTTATAAAACCGTTTTGGTTAACCGTAAAAAATACTTTTTATTATTATTATCATTCAAACTGAATTATGGTCATATTGTTTAATCCGCTCTTTCAAGATGTGTTTTTGCATGTCACTGCTATAATAAACGTTAATTTTTTACCATACAAATAACCAGTTACTTCTCGAGAGAAAAATGGTACCTATTATACCTTAATAAGAGAGATTATCTATTAAACAAGTACCGTTGAATAAATATTGGTGGATGAATTTTTAAACATAAAAATTGTGTCAAATTACAGTTATTTTAAGATACCTAATTTGGGTTAAACATGCAATGTCTGATCATTACAAAAGTGTTTTACTCATACAATACCTTTTGTACTTTGGTTTGTGATCTTGGTAAATTGATTGAGTATAAGAGAAAGTATTTTTACACGCAGTTATACTTACTATACTTAAGGTTATATAAATTGGAACAATTTTACGCGAATTATAATTTTATATAATAATTATGTATTTTTTTATTTGAAATTTAAAAAAGTATTAAAAATTTGACGGTTCAGTTGTTATAAATAGGCGAAGAAATATAATATTTTTATTATATATATGGGTGATTCTACAAAAGTTGGGCAACTTTTGACCTCATTTTGTTTGTACTATATAGTTTTCGGAGAAAATTAAACAGTATTTTGTTATGAGAACATAGATAATATAATAAATATACTGTTCCAGACCGGGCCAGTCACTTTTTCAAACAGTTTCTGAAATATCTGTGTTTTCTAAATTTGAATGAAAGGGAAGTGACGAGTATACCAGGGTACTAAATAAATACATAATTTATTGGAAAATATAATATTTATTGCAACTTTGAGCATAGTATTTATTAAATATCTTAAAATCAAATAATACCACACATCAGTGGCGGCTGGTGGATTTTGGGTATACCGATATCTCAATTATTAGATATGGGACCCACACCAAATTTATATGAGTTTATAATGACATTAAATAAACAAGTTCTGCGCAAGCAGAATTTAAATTGAAGTTTGCGAAAAAAGATAACCGAAACATCGAACATGGAACTGACGACACGGTACTGATGAATGGGATACAAATTTGTGATTATAATTCGGAATTAAGTATTTTACTAATATTTTTATTAGTGGATGCTACTTATGAACAAATCACATATAGCCGTATATAAATTACCATGAAATATATATATATATATATATATATACGTAAGAAAATAACTACTCACCACAGTACTGAAATTTTGACTGGAACTATACGTGCATTCACCACAACTTCGCCGCTTGCATTGTTTTCAAGATGACTGTCGTGCAAAGGGCGGGCTCTGTAGGTAATTTTTTACCAACACTTGAGTTAAAACGAGGACTTGTCGTTTAAACTTCAATATTTCGCAGGAATTTTGAATTTTAACATTGGAAACAGAACTGACGGGTAAAAGTGAGTACAAAGATTATCAATTTTTCAAAAATTGCTATTATTCGAATCTATGATAAAATATGAAAAATATATTATTTAATGTTTTATAGTTTGTAGTGAAATTGAAAAATTTAAGATAAATTGAATATATTTTAAAATAAAACCACTCAAATATTTGATTCAGGAGTTGTGACGCGACAAGGTACTGATGTTTTGAATATTTATTATGTTTTTCTACAAACGTGCTTTTGAAAAAATACATTAAAATTGGGTGAACAAGTTAAAAAACTGGATCTTTTGTAATATACAA